TTTTATTTTAATTGTTTGTCAGCTCGCACAACTGTCTGTCAACATGCCTTGATGAGTATTGATTATTAATAATGTTATTATAATACTGCCAATCAACTACTGCGGAGGTAAAGGTACTGTTATTTCACCCTTTTTAATTTGGTTGAGGTTGTGTTCCCACATCGTTAGCTAGTTTGGATCGCTATAACTTGAATGACTGTCAACTGTTGAATGAACGAGTGTCAAGCATGTCAAGTAGCGCTTTGTTTACTTCAAACCGGAAGTCGCGCCCACTTTTGACGCAAGGCCTCATGGGGCGTAGGAAACTTGTGGATAAACGAGAGCTTTTGTTGGGATTTTTCATTATGTGGCAGAGTTATATTTTTTGCAGCGTGTGGTGTGGTCAGGTGCGCGATTGTGACTGTTACTATAGACCTAGGACAGAGCTCTTCACTTTTTGCAGTTAAAAAAAAAATCACTTAATTTTCAAAGAATTGTATTATTATTATATTGTAGTTTTATTTATTTGTGATGTTTTTTCATTGTTGTTTTATAAATGCTCAATGACAATTGTTTAAAAAATGTTTAATCAAAACAGGTTTTTTTTTTTTTTCCCCGACTAATCGACTAATCGTTGCGCAGGTAAAGACTTTGGTCGACTAAGGATTTCTTTGGTTGACTACAGCCCTACTCAAATCCTCATGTAAATATCCTCTATCGCTCAACCGTCACATCTAGGTCAGCTCCATTACTAATTAATTACTGTTGCACAATGGTTTCCACCTACACACAGTCACACACACTCAGTTCTCCCTGCAAGCCCCATATTGTCATAGCTGCTAAAAATACAAAAAAGCTTTAGGGAGAAGTCATAACAACTCAACACAACAACTCTGGATTGAGAGCGTGATCACCCTGACCTCAGAGCACCACTAACGCAGGCTTGCTCTAAGGGTGTAATGATTCTGCCCTTTACATCACGCCACAAGCAGGAGGTGTGATCACAGTGACCTTAATCCTGCTGCACGCACACACAAACTCAGATGCACAATAAAGGGTAGGGCTGCGTGATTAACGCAAATGATTTTCGGTTTAGATTTTGTCTTCCAATGATTATGAAAACAAGATAATCAAGGTAAAATGATTATTGCTCTGCTGTCACTTTACGGGTTGTTTCGTTCCTCCCCTAAGCCAAACTTAATGTACAAATCAGCCAAATAAGTAAGTGTTGTAAAATGCAGTCTACTGTTGCTAAACTGCGGGAGGTGTCTGATAATAAACAGTGTCATTAAAAGAGCATTAAGCCACGAAAGAGATACTATTCCCAAGGCAGCTTTCTGTGCACAAGTCTGAGACGGAGTGGAATGTGCATAGGCAAAGTACTGCGCATATACCCTACACAAACATTTTTCGTAATGTCGTAAGCACAGACAGTTATGTCTTAAAGGGATACTCCACTTTTTTTTGGAAATAGGCTCATTTTACAACTCCCCCAGAGTTAAACAGTCGAGTTTTAACGTTTTCGAATCCATTCAGCCGATTTTCTGATATTTAGAAGAATGTCAGTAACCAGATAGTTTCTGGTCTCATTGACTTCCATTGTATATTTTTTCGTACTATTGAAGTCAATGAGACCAGAAACTGTCTGGTTACTGACATTCTTCTAAATATCAGAAAATAGTCTGAATGGATTCAAAAACGGTAAAACTCAACAGATTAACTCTGGGGGAGTTGTAAAATGAGCCAAAAAAGTGGAGTTAGGGCTGGGCGATATGGCCAAAAAATCATATCTCGATATTTTTTGGTCAAATGGCGATATACGATATATATCTCGGTACTTTCTACGTTTTCTATTTAGATAAAGAAAATCTTTATATTGAAAAAAATATATATATATTCACATTCGGCCCAATGATATCCTACAAACAATGTTGATATTGAAGGATATGGAAACAAATATAATATAGGCTATGCAATATATTATGTGCAAAAAGCTTTTGTTTTTATATTGACTAAAAGCTAAACTAAAAATGAAAATAAAAACAAAAACAAAAGCACAAACTAATTATATTAGCCTGCATTTGATTACCCCATTATAATCACTTTCACTTTCATTAAAAATATATACTTGTAGGTTTAAAATTCCACATATGGCACATTTATTTTCTCCGACAACAAATATTTTAGCAATATGTTTATTTTAGTCAGAATTATTGCGTACTACGTAGTACTATTCACGCGCATGCGCGCGCCGGCGCTCGTTCAAGGAAGCATGAATTTTAGCGGAGATTCACTTGCAGAAGCTCGTCCTCTTCTGACATGGACATATTTGTTGTGAAATGGACATATTTGCTTTACTTTCTAACATTTACAGATGGAGAATATACATGTGAAATGTAAGTTGAGCACTGAGGAAAGCACCACATCTCAAACGCATTAAACAGCGCAAGTATATCTGTCAGTCAGCAACAGTGTCTGTCAGAGCATTTGACCGGACGGCAAGCTGCCTTAAACTTGTTAACTATATCAAAGTGATTTTGACGCAATTAATATAAGCTTGTGTCATGTTTAGGACAAATTGTACTACGTAGCCTAGCTACTTTCACTGCAGCAGCTCACACTGCAAACTCCGCTATTTTTCAGATGTGCTCATATCAAACTACTGTATCGATATAAACGGTATTGCCTCATTCCATATCGTTTCAAAAAATATAACGATGCATCGTACATACTCGATATATCGCCCAGCCCTAAGTGGAGTATCCCTTTAAGTGAATGTAAACAGTTGAGAAAGTAAACGTGTGTAACAGTATATTGGATCCGTGCATTCATTCTCAAAGTGACAGCAGCCCAAATTACTGGTTTAGTCAGTGTCAATGTTAATCGAACAACAAAAGACTAATAAAGATAATAAAGACAAAAAAAATATGTTTTGAGGATCTTTTACATGCTATTTCAGCAAAAACTAATATTTTAATGCAGCTATCAATAATTGTGAAATTTTACTTTTAGTAATTGTTATATATATATATATATGTAAAACGGTTAGTTCCAATCCTTGATTCTGATTAGTCGATAGTTGTGCTTTGTGTTCTTTTTATCACTGCACAACATTTTAGTTCCTATGTTGGTTTTATTTGAGCTTTCATGCATATTACACATTGGAACGTTGTTGCTGTTCACGGTCAGGCACTATTTTTTTCTAGCGGAAAAAAGGCCTTTTTGAGTGATTTTACTTCATGAAATTTGCACTAATACATACTCCGTTTCGTGTCGTGCCTAACAACGCCCTTCAGCCGTTCTTTATTCACGGGAAAGCACAGCCTCTCGTACCTTATTGTTTACATATATATATTAAAGACAGCTTAAACAAATATTCATCTATATTTAGTTTATATAGTAAAAACTATGCAGTGTTATTTTACATTTAATTGTTACATATCAGTACCAGAATACTACCATTAGACCTTACTTTATTTGTAACTTTCTTCTATTGAATTTATCTATGCTTGTGTATTTGTTCTTAATTTTTTACTGACTGTTCACTTGTCTTTAACAATGTCTGAACTTTTTGCTGGTCCGAAAAATGATCTTATCCGCGACTCAAAAACAGAACCGTGAGTTTTGTGATACGTTGCACCTCTGAAAATTCTTTTAAACTTTTGCCAACAGCAGCATCGTGCCTCCTTCTGCACAATTTGACTCGTCTCCCGAGTCTTGTTGTGAAGAAGAGAATAGTGTGAGTCTCTCAAACAGTCAATAAACACTCTCACTATTGGCTATGTGATGCACACTTGGTAAAACCTGATACAATCTGGTGAGACCTATAGTTGTAAAGCACCAGAAATTAATCTCACATGGTGTGAGGCAGCAGTATGTTGTTATAAAGAGGCTGCATATACTCCACCTACACACACACACCCCCTTCACAGAGCCCCTGACCTAGAAAAGTGAGTTCCTAAGATGTTGCAGAGTTATTCCAAACATCTGCCAGTGCCGTTTACCGTTACACCACATTCATTCACATATTCATTCCTTCAAAACCTAACAAATAAAGCCACAACTGCCAGAACTCAGAGATTCTGCTATTACTGACATAACTCTCTAAGATGCAATCTTTTAGACAGTCACAACCCAAACAGTATCTAGACACACATATCTGTTCAGTGTTTCCCACAGGATTTGTTATACTTTAGTGGGTGGTCCCCGGTCCCTCTAAGGGGCTTCGGAGGCATGCCGAGGTTTTATTTTGACAGAAAATGCAGTCAAGTTTTTATTTTGGTGGAAAACAAGTTTACAAACGAGTCTCATTACAAATCTAGTGAAATGCTTATGCAATAATGCATAACTGCATTCCCAAATGCAAGCTGAACTCAGCACATGCACAGTTCACTGCAGTCATTCACTGTGAACTGAGACGCAGAGCTGATCACGTGCTGATACCACAGATAAATCAATGTATGGGAAACACTGCTCTTCTTAGCAGGCTTGTGTGGTGGTAAATGGCAGTGTTGGCCGGGTGATAAAGACTCAGGCCAATGAAAAATGACAGGCTGATTTATGAGGCCAATAAATATGGACTAAGTGATAATCTGCTGAACAGACTTATTCTCACTCTTCTCTACAGTCAAACCATGTAGCATGCAGGATCCATCATCCTTTCAATAGCCTAATCCCACAATAATCACTACGCACAAGCCTGAGGATTCAGAGCCAGAACGTTAACTTTAAAGCTTATTCTTCAATGCATCGCGATTCTGAATTTCGTATTTCTCCCACATGTGTGCGATATAGACAGGCTGGTTGTGCTTTACCTTTAAGCAATTTAATGCATCATTGAAGTATTCAATGTAGTGTAGATTTGAGGCAAAAAAGTTAAAACAAGTTCTTGGTTGTAGATTGTAATTGGCAATTCACTAGTATCTTGATTCCCGCCAAAGGCAGACATATCCAGTAATTAGCAATATATACTAATCTGGCATCTGGGTTTTAACAACAATCTGTAAATTAGATTTGCTGACCTTTGCCATTTCCTCAGCTCCACCCACAGTGAGGGCCTGACGATGGGCTGAGTGACGAATAAGAGAATCCGTCCCGATTTCCAAGCGAGGACGCTTCATCTCAGAGTACTCCACTTCTGATTGGCTGCTGTGGTCCTGCAGGTAAATGTGTTCATATCGGATGTGGGACTCTTGACCTCTGTAGAGGAAGAAAAGAGCAGGAGGAGAAGTGAATTATGGCTAAAATACAGACATTAACCTAATTTCAAAAGAATGTCAGGATGAAAAGGTTGACAAAGTGGACTCATTGTTTTTACACACACTTAAGTTGACATTTAACAGCAGTTACCTCAACAAAACACAACAGAGCTCAGATGGGTGAATAATGATTCCAGTAATACACGACATTTTAAGTTCGGGCAAGACTTCATTTTATTAATTGGGGATTAATTGGATCATGAAAAAGTGGGTGTTTCAAACCAGAATGAAGTCAAACTAAATGTGTAACATCAACTGGCAATTAATAATTTTGGAAAGGATGCACTGCCTAAAAAGTCTACTTTTAACAACACTCATAACATATTTCTCATAGTTGAGGGAAAATAAACATTGTCCAAAACAAAATCTACAAAATACAATACAATGTTATGGATGACTGAGATTCCCCATAGACATACGAACCAGCACTTATCACCAGCACTAGACATTTAATAAGGATGAGTCCACTGAAACAACCAGTAATACAAGACCAGTCAGGACAGGTCATGATGATCTCTGCAATTACTCCACAAATCATGGGCTAAGTAAGTACAGGCCTTTCGGACCAAAGATGAGTATAACCATGGCAATGTTTGAGTGCTGAAGGCAACAGTGCCTTGCGGTGCTTGGTACAGGAGTGAGCCTTTTCACACAAGAGTGCGAGTAGTGTACTGACTGATCTTGATGGTGGTGGAAAGATTGTGTGATATAAGTGGAAAAGAGAGGTGCTTGAACTTCACACAAATACATTATTCACATCAATCTCACATAGACACGTCTCTTGTTCTCACTTTAAGTCAACCAAACATCTGTCCTTCCTGTGTTACATCTGATTCTACAACACAGCAATAATACAGAGTGTGATTGGATGCCAATGCTTCATCCCCGTCCAAAGTGAGTCTGTGGCTGCACGATTTGTGTGGGGGAAGTTTGAGCTAGTGATGCACCATATATGTCGGCCGCCATATCGGTATCGGCCGATATATGTTAATTTTTTAGTGTTATCGTTATCGGCCTGATAAGAAAATTAGGCCGATATATTAAAGTTGATAATTAATGTATTATTTCCTTCAGCTGAGACGCTTCAGATGCACTGTTCAACATGATGGTTTGGAATTGCTTGAAATATGATTGCAAAAAAAAATGAAAATACAGTTTAGTGTCATATAGTCCATTTAAACTGTGGATGGGATATGGATTTTAATGGTGAGACTTTTGTTTTTGTAATCAGACTCTCAAAAATGAAATAAAAATTTGGATTTAGATTTTTCGACCAATATCGGTTATCGGCTTTCAAGTATAAAGAATTATCGGTATCGGACAAAATTTTCATATCGGTGCATCCCTAGTTTGAGCTTTTTTATTTATTAATTTAATTATTATTATTTAAATAAATCATCACTATTTTAATGTTTCACTGTCAAAAAAACTAAGTAATAATTGAAAAGCACCCCACTGAGAGAACAGTACAACTGTAATACATTACATATGTAATTTATCTTAATTTCTTCTTTTTCAAACAATAAACTTTTTATGGAGAACCACAGTGAGCAGACCTTCTCATTGTTTTGAAAGACAGTTTCCGCATGTTGAGTTCCCAAATGCACGTTATAAGCGACCCTTATATTTTATTTTGATTAATCATGCAGACTTACATTTTGATTGAGGCACTAATAGGGTGAGTTGCTGTACTTTGTGTGGTCAAGTGGTTCACAGGCCTTCCTGTAGCTCAGACTGATCAAGAGCAAACACATATATTACACACATAAACCCAATAACCCTAAACGGCAAGAGAACAGATCACACTAAAACCACATGTACACACACACACAGTTTAAAGACTTTCCCATCCTGTGCCAAAGCCAGAGATCAGACACATATGAACACACTAAAAATACACACGTGTACGCAATATCCCTACGCAATATATCTACACATCCCCATTAGTTTCCCCACAGATCACACACACTGCAGACTGTCTGTTATACTTATAAAAACTATAATACCGTGCACAAACTTTGCATTTAAATAAGTAAAAAACATTCAGAGGTGAAATCAGGTCATTAAGATTAAGACAAACTAGACAACTGAGGTTTAAAACTATAGCGCTTGTGTATAAATGGGTGTGCCTAAGTGAGTGGATTGAACTCCGTTGAGAAGAAGAATGGGTGTATACCTCAGATCCATTTCATGGTCTAACCAGCTTAAATAAACAGTACACATAGACTCCAGCACAGAGCATGATTAACGCAAACAAATGCTGACGTAAATGCATGCGTGTGTGCCAGTACCACACCACACAGACAATGAAACAGAGAGCAGGGACATAATTATATGTGAATACTACAGGCAAAATGACACTTTAAGAGCATTTAAAAGTAAGGAGAGGAAAAGATGTCAGACCACGTTCCTTATTATATAAAATCACACACAACTCCTCAATCCTGGCCTGGAATCAAAGTCAGAGAGTTCAAAGAACCAAAGTTCCACATTGGAACCACATTGGAATTGGCTTTGATTAGGGATGGGGCCGATCCGATCCAGTATCGGTATCGGGACCGATACCAGCATAATTCACGTATCGGATTTTTCCGATCCAACCTGCGGAGAAATCCGATATTTATGATCCATGTCTGCGCTTTAACGTTGTCTGCTGAAATGACTCCAAAAGTGATTCCCGCCGGGCCTGCTAGTCTGCTATAGCTGGCTGCAAACTGTGGAATGGATACCCTGAACGGAGGTGCAGCTCAATCAGTGACTGTAAAACATAGGGCTCAATGAGACACACCCCCGCTCAGGAAATCCATTCCGCAGTTTGCAGCCAGCTAGCAGGATAGCACTGAGCTATAACATGTTCGCTGTGTGGAAATCATATGGTGGAACTGGAAACACCGCTGCAGTGCAGAGCAAGACAGCAAAGTGCAATGTTTGCAAAACCGTATTAATTAAACTATTTGATGCATGTTTGCAATTCGCAGTCCAGAAGAGAAAGAGAGAGATCTCTCACGCGGTGCAACAGCAAGCACAACATGACAGCCCGGCGTAATGAGTGACGACAGAGGAAACGTAGCCTGGTTACACTTTAGATCTGTGATATTAGTCTGATTTCCAAATATTACAGAATATATTGAGGTAAAAACATTAAAAACAATAGCCGCATTCTGTCTAGCCAACTTCCTTCCCATCGCGGCGGTGCACTGTCATTTCTCCCTAAAACTCAAACTTTAATACAGAATCAGCACGATCGATGATTGTAGTAAAATGCAGTCTCTGCTGTTACTAAATTGCGGGACGCTTTTAATAATGAAAAGAGCTATTAAAAGCACAAAATTTGCGCAAGAGATGCTGTTCCCAGTGCGGCGCGCTCCGAAACAGACCGCAACAAGACAAACAAATTATACTCTGGGCTTCATATGCGCGTCTAAACGATCAAATGTAGACTGCACAAAAATGTCAAACCGACCGACTTGGAGATTAACACTTAAACAATTTATTATGTCTAAAATGAACGTAGTTATGGAAATATTTGGGAGAAAAAATGGTGCATCATCAGTAGACTATGAAATCTGAACTCGTTCTTAAAGGGGCAGCAGTATAAATGTGACGATTGCGACATTACTGAGAATCAAACAACCAAAGGCAAAGAGAAAATCACTCACAGCTCTTGAATGAATTACTTCAGCTTTAATAAGCATAAATCTATCTATGATAAACTTTGCAGTGCTATTTTACTTTTGATTACTTTATTATAATTCTTTTTAAGACCATACCTGAATAATATTTGTAGACCTTCCTGAAATTAAAGCACTGTGTAGGCCTGTATAATGTGTATCTTTGTTTAATTGTCTATCTATTGTATAATATATATATATATATATATTTATTTATATATATATATTGACATACATACATACGTACATATCATCCTTGCCTGTAGAGAGGAGTTTATTTCAGCATCATATAAAATCAACAATAATGATAAATACTATTAAAGCAAACACAGCTCTCAGGTATCGGAAAAGTATCGGTATCGGCCGATATCCAAAGTCAGGTATCGGGATCGGATCGGAAGTGAAAAAATGTGGATCGGTGCATCCCTAGCTTTGATTAAACTTGCATTGTGTGAATAACCATTATTACATCAAATTTTTGAAACTGAAACAATAGGGTTTCTATTAGTGCTGCACGATTAATTATATCGCAATTGCGATGTCAAGCCTATGCGGTTAAATGACGTAAAATTCTGGGATTTTAAATTAAACATTAGACCTGTTAACACAATTAACGCAGTAGGCCTATCTGTTCGTTTTTGTCATCCTTTGGCTAGTGTTGCATGATCCGCGCTCTTATTCATACAAATGCTTAAACCATTGATTCGTTACAAGACTAAAAAAGATGGCGTTGACTGACACACACACACACAGAGAAAGACTCGAGCCAGTATCATGTGTGCGCACAAGACAGCACGCCGGAATACAGTTCTCTTTTGTGCAAACAAAAACACACAATTGACCTATGGCTAAGCCACGACCTCAAACGTGATGAGCCAATCACGTTGAGCAGCTAACCCAATAGAGAGCCTAAGTCCCTCCCCTTCCAGTCGACCACCATGGGACCTTATTTTGGAAAAATATTGAATGGTAGTCAATGGCGAGAGATAACAAATATTTTGATCTCGTTTGCATTGTGCCCTGAATTACACATATGATGTTTGTCAATTTAAAAGATACATTTTAAAGTAAAGAAAGTCGCAATTTGATGTAAAACCGTTGAGGTATAAGACTATGAAAATACGGAATTACAAAGACTACAAACCCCAAAGGCGCACATTTTCTCTCAATGAATGAAGCTAACTTTACTGAGGCTATTGTCTGTCATTGTTTCTATAGTCCTACGTTTTAATCGTAACGTTACGCTGTCATGCCTGAGTGTTTTGTACCA